CTTCTGAAAGCTTAAGCTTAAATTTCACTTCTTTATTGGATTGCTCTCTATTCTACCAGGCTTAGTTTAATTGTCAAAAGAAAAGTAATGTAAACTATAATTGATTAAACATTATGGACAGAACTAAAACCAATAATAATTTTTTTTTTTAACCCTGCAACTCCCAAAGAAAAATGCCTTCAAAATGCTGCAAGCACAATTCATTTAAATCACCTGACTTCCAGGTCTATTGACTCCAACAGATGGACAGGACTTTTTGCCCTATCCAGACAGACAACAAGTTTAAAAACATTTTTAAAAAGCCCAAGCACTTTTTGATCTAACTTTAAAAAGCATTGTCAATGTCAAGAACAGGGTGACTGTGGGTTGTTTATTATGCTAGGAGGAGTCTTCTATGTTGTATTGTTTGTGTAGCATGAAGCGACATTGTATGCCTGCTATCCCTCTGGGACCCTCTTGAAAAGGAGGTATTTTATGTCCCTGCCCGTGCCAGTAAATGAATTGCCCCCTTAAAGTAAATACAATATATAAAGCCAAGTCTGGCTCCAAAGTCATGCTATGTGCCCCCCTCTGGCTATGGAGGAAGTTACTCATGCTTATCAGAAGGTCAAATTTGGTCTGGCATTATTAGGTTGCAGGCAATATGGTAATGGGACCCAGAGAAGTGTTTGGTTTTTTTTTTAAACATAGTTTTGCTCTTGTTGCCCAGGCTGGAGTGCAATGGCACGATCTTGGCTCACTGCAACCTCTGTCTCCCAGGTTCAAGCAATTCTCCTGCCTTAGCCCCCAGAGTAGCTGAAATTACAGGCAAGAACCACCACGCCCGGCTAATTTTGTTTATTTAGTAGACACAGGGTTTCTCTCTGTTGGTCAGGCAGGTCTCCAACTCCTGACCTCAGGTGATCCACCTGCCTCAGCCTCCCAAAGTGCTGGGATTACAGGCATGAGCCACCACGCCCGGCCGAGAAATGGTTTCAACTAATGGAGTGTGCCTCTGAATTGGCTGGCTGCCAGGGAAGTGTATCTTACCCTACACATGAGCTTGGGGAACTTATATAAATATAAAGAGAAGTCAGATCCTTTGAGAATTGGCATCATATCGCTAGTTCATGCAGGGAAAGTGGCTAAATACATCAATGTGAAAATACATTTTCACTTCTATGGAAATGGAAAAAAATACTTTTTCACTTCTATGGAAGTTGGAAAAACTAGAATTTATTCTATTGCTCTAAATCAACCAGGAATTACTAGGCTCCCATGAGGAAACCAAAGATGCAAGAAGTTAGCCACTTGACATGACTGCAGCCACATTACAAGCTAGACAATGAGACAGGACAGCAGAGAAGGAGTTGGGTGGAAATCATGTGGCTTCATAGCTGAGCCATGCCATTTAATTTCCTCTTCCTGATGCCAGCTTCTGCTCATGGGCCATCAGCTCTATCCAGTTCTTTTCTATTTCTCCACGTTCTTCAGAGTATTCGTGTCTGATGACAGTTGTTAGTGCAATTGCATTGTTAGAGTTAAATAACTTTGCTTTGAAGCCATGAACATCTGGATTAAAATGCAGACTCTGCTGCTTGTGGGCTGTGTGGCTTCACATGGCATTTCTGAGCCCTGCTTGCTTTATGAAAACATCATACAATCTATATTAGAAAGTTAGATGGGGCCCGGCACAGTGGCTCACACTTGTAATCCCAACACTTTGGGGGGCCGAGGCGGGTGGATCACAAGGTCAGGAGTTCAAGACCATCCTGGCCAACATGATGAAATCCCATCTCTATAAAAATACAAAAATTAGCCAGGTGTGGTGGTGCACGCCTGTAGTCCCAGCTACTTGGGAGGTTGAGGCAGCAGAATCGCTTAAACCTTGGAGGTGGAGGTTGCATTGAGCATAGATCACCACTGCACTCCAGCCTGGTGACAGAACAGAGCAAGACAATGTCTAAAAAAAAAAAAAAAAAAAAAAAAACTTAGATGACACCTGAATCACAGAGTAGTAGTTTCATGGAAAGAGAAGATTTGAAAGCAGATCATCATTCTAAGGTATGTCATGAGAAAAACAACTCATCGAAAATACTTTTGCTAACTGTTTTAAGAGAAAGGATTAAACTGAGGTGTAATTTGTTAATTACTATACCAAAACTTTTAGTGCTTACCATGTGTAATGCGTTAGCATAATAGAAGACATAATTTTTCCCAAAGGTTTCAAACTGGTCCTTGATACTCATGTGAAAATATTGGTCAGATGTTACTGATTTTAATGTAAAATTCAGGAAATATGCCAAGCACTGTGGCTAACAGCTATAATCCCAGCACTTTGGGAGGCAAGGAGGGAAGGTCACTTAAGCTTGGAAGATTGAGGCTGAGTGATCCATGCTCGTACCACTGCACTCCAGTCTGAGATAGAGAGACCACATCTCAAAAAATTAAACACAAGTCCATATGAAAACATAAACAATGTGTCTTTTTTCTTTTTCTTTTATTTTATTATTATTATTTTTAAAGATGGTGTTTCACCATGTTGGCCAGGATGGTCTTGATCTCCTGACCTCGTGATCCTCCCACCTCGGCCTCCCAAAGTGCTGGGATTACAGGTATGAGCCACCACACCTGGCCTAAAAGCATAAACAATAGTCTCATACACTCTTCTTTTCTTTCTTTCCCGGGATATCTTTCTTAGCTTAAAACACTTTTGTTGACGCTTTGCCCAATATCCACCACATTTTATATCTGCTAAGAATTTTAACTTATATCATCAGTTCAACCAACATTTCAATCATATACAAGGTGAAAGAATCAGGATTAATTCAGTCAGTTCAAACTTTTTATACTGAGGCATTTGCAGCAAATTTAGTAAATACCTTTGGATTTTCCAGAAACTTAAAGCAGTCTATTTGTATGTGTCTTACTCTTTTTCTTTTCTTTTCTTTTGAATTGGGGTCTCACTCTGTTGCCCAGGCTGGAGTGCAGTGGTACAATCATAGTTCACAGCAGCCTCCACCTCCTGAAATCAGGTGATCCTCCCACCTCAGCATTGTAAGTAGCTGGGATAACATGTTTCACTGTGTCATCTCAAAGCTAAATAAGAACCTGTCAAGTCCCAAATAAAGTTGGAATAGGACGAGTGGTGTCAAACTTCTGAAGAGTAAGTTCAAACTGAATATTCTAATAAATAACTGGTGTTTTCTCTTCCTCTTGCTGATTGGAGAAACTGAACGACAGAGCGATTAAAATTTCCCAACCCCATTCAGTGGAAAAGGAAACATACTGTGGAAAGAATTGCTAGCAATTGTAGTCAGTGTCCATCTCTATGGATTTGGTGTGGAAATTTACATTACAACAAATGAAAAACAACTCGCAGTACCCTCAATACAATGGACATCAATTCTGCTTCCTTTGGTGATTTAAAAACAAATCTGGATCTGGATATATGTGCTTTAGAAACTGCAATTTGTCAACTTGATTGTTGCTATATGGCATTTGCAGAGCTTGACTTGAGCTTGTCTTTAAAAAAAAATGCTTCTTAAAACTGTATGCCTTTATCAGAAGTCGCCCCTTGGCTATTTACATGTGCCATGGTTACAGACCTGCTAGACTGATGATATTCACATGCAGGAAACAATGCAAGGAAAACAGGATTTGCACGGCTCCGACTGCACTGGCCCAAGAATTCCAGGAAGTGATTGTACTTTATGAAACCGTCTGTGCTCCGTTAGATTGTCTATAGCTTTTAAGGTCAAGTCCTATCACAGCAAGTTTGCAATGCCCTTTGTAACAAGGCAGAGTGTTTATGAAGCTGAGTACATGCTGTATTGTTTATCAGCCCAGGCAGTTGAAAGGTGCGATATTCCAATCTTGTGGTTCAGGATGGCACTAGGAATTGATCACAGGCTCTTCTGACACAGGCTTGGGATTAGTTCAAAGAGTCCCTGGCAACAGTGACCACGCGACAATCCAGCACATGGAGAAAGTCACGAAGCCCACAGTCCCTGACAGGAGAGATGGGTTCGTGTGGAAAATCAATGTGGGGAGCACTGTGAGTTTATGTTTTAAGATCCCCGTGCTTCCTGCTGTGGCTGAGCAGTCTCCTTGGAGAGTGAAAGGTGCTGGTGTACAGTAACTGCTGATTCTGAGAGTACAGAGAGTGAGACAACAATGGAATTTATTTCTTCGTAAGAGAGCTGGGAGGCAGCCAGGCATTCCAGGGCCTTGCTCTTGAATTCTTTGATTTTTCTACAGTGCATAATGACTAGAGACTCCTGGTGCCTCTGCGCTAGGGGATACTGGAGCCAGACCATGGACGCCCAAACTGCTCACGTTACTCCACAACCCTGCCTAATCTCTTTGGAGGCGCCAGACTAGACGTGACTGGCCAGACCCCTGCTTGCTGCCTCTCCATGAATGATGTTGGTCCCTGAAGCTAGGTTAAACAAGCAATAGTCCATAGCTATTGTTAAGGACACTGTCATGATGGAATCATCTGGGCATGCCTCCTTTCCACTAGGAGTGATGGCTGCTAGCCAGGCATCTGTGAACTTTCTGGAGACACGTAGGTGTTGTGGACCAAAGTCATAGCACCTGAGAGGCAAGCATGACAGCCCCTGTGTTTTCAGATGCAGGGACTGAATGAACCTCAGTGCGTGATTGCTGATGTCAAGTCAATCGATACAGATTTAATGAAGTCTGTTAGTTTATAAGTCAAGTGACTTGCCATTAGGGACTATTTCCTCAAGGGTGACAAAATGACAACAATGAAATACTTTTTATCCAGTTGCCACATTGTGTGCTCCATACTGGCTTTTGAAGGTCTGGTTTTGCAATGTAGGGTTGTATTTTATTGACCGAATTTTATTTTATTTCTAAATTCAGAGGAATCTTGAGGTTTATCACTTAATAGTTACTCTGTGGACTAACATCACATAGTTATCATCAAGCCTTATAATAAAACTGTTATATTTTTCTAGTAGACTCATAGAGGACTATTGTTGGATGTCTTACAGGCATAACTACCTCATAAATGGTTGCTGAATACTGGCCAAAACACTTAACTAAATGAAAATTAAAAGTGCCACTCATCAGGTAAGAAGAGTCCTGAAACCCCTGTTTCTGGTCTTGATTCTACCATTAACTTCTAGGAAATTTTACCTCTACCAGTGACAGACATTGGGATAATCATTCCCTGGACCTTTGTTTCTCCTCTGCAAAAGGAGGTGCTTTAAATATGTAATTGATTTCTAGGGTCTTTTCCATCTATAAAGATTGAATCTCTGACAGTTGGCCTCTAAATCAGAATACTCAGAGGTGTTTGAACCAGAGCAACTCCATCTTGAACCGGTGCTGAGTAAACAAAGGTTGAGACTTGCTGGGCTGCATTTCCAGTTAGTTAGGCATTCTAAGTCATAGGATGAGAGAGGAGGTCAGCATAAGATACAGGTCATAAAGACATTGCTGAGAAAACAGGTGACAGTAAAAAAACTGGCCAAAACTTACCCAATCAAGGTGACAAGAGTGAGCTCTGGTTGTCTGCACTGCTACACTCCCACCAGCACCATGATAGTTTACAAATGCCATGGCAACATCAGGAAGTTACCCTATCTGGTCTAAAAAGGGGAGGCATGAATAAGCCACCCTTGTTTAGCATATCATCAAGATAGAACCATAAAAGACAACTAGTAGCTCTTAGAGCTGCTCTGCTTATGGACTAGCCATTCTTTCATTCCTTTACTTTCTTAATAACTTGCTTTCATTTTACTCGATGGACTTGCCTTAAATTCTTTCTTGTGGGAGATCCAAGAACCCTCCCTTGGATCTGGATCAGGACCCCTTTCCAGCAGCATTTAGAGAGGGAAAGTGAAGGCTTCCTAGAGAAAGTAGGAAAGTAGAAAAACAAATGAGAAAAAAAAAAAAACCAAGGTCTAAAAATTTGAGGAGAAATGCTGCCATAGGGAGAAACATAATAATTATTTACTTCGTAAAGTATTATTTTTAATAATTTTTCATATTTATTAAATCCTTAGAAAAATTCTAGGAATTTGATATTATGATTTTTAATGAACAAATAAGGAAACTGAAGTTTGTAAAGTCCTTAAATCACTTGCCAAAGATACATGTTGATTAAGGGGTTGAGTCTAAAAACAAACCAAGATCTTGGGATGGAAACCTAGACCCCCTAAAAGGATCCACCTGCAAGGAAGGAAGTGCCTTGGAAAGAAGATGAACCGAAAGCACATTCAGCCTCGGTTTTTCTAGCTATATATGTGATGTTCAGTCTTCCCTATATTTCAGGTAGTATAAATACAAAAGGCCATGGGCCCTGCATAAGAACATTTTCTGATTTAAAATGTACTAATTTTATTTTTTATCCTGTCAAGGCATGTACACATGAAAAGGAAAGGAAGTTGTGGAGTTATTTGAGGTATATCTAAGTTTTTTTTAAATGTACATTGGAAATTATGAAAACTGTATTCTGTGCCCTAGTGCTCTCAACACATTATCAAATTATGTAAATAAATACCTGGGCAAATTCCTTTATTTATTCAATGTTTATGCAGTTAGAGTTTTAAAAAATGCTATTTTTAGGCTTGGCATGGTGGTGCATGCCTGCGGTCCTGGCTACTCAGGTGGCTATGATGGGAGGATCGCTTGAGCCCACAGGTTCATGACCAGCCTGGGCAACATAGCAAGACCCCGTCTGTCTTGCTTTTTAAAAAAAGCTATATTTAAAAATTATAGGAGGCAACAAAAGCAGTTATCAGAGAGAAAAATTATTATTTATAATTCTTATGTTAGAAAAGAGTAAAGGCTTAAAACTGAGTGAACTAAATACCCAACCTAAAAAATCTGAAAAAGAACAATACAATAAACCCAAAGAAAAAAGATAATAGAAATAAGTACAAAACCAAATTAAACCAAAAGTAAAATTTCAAAAAGCTAAAAGTTGTTCCTTAAAGAGATAAATGTTGGCAGAGAACTAGAGGACGCCACACTTTCAGACAAATTCTGGTACCTCATGGAGCAGAAGATCCCCAGAGGAGGAACCACACGGGTTGCCAACGCGATTCTTGTGGCCGGCACAGCTGTTTCGCCGGCACCTCAGCGCGGCAGCTCTCAGAGCAGAGTAAACAGGGCCGGACCGAGGTTTGGAGCCCGGGGAAGGCAGAGTTGCCATTTACTGACACAAGAAGGAAGCCAGACAGGAGAATCCTGGGCGGAAAAGCACCATCAGTCTTAACGCTGCCGTTCTGGCCCTGGGAACTAACAACTTGGACGTCCAATCAAGAGACCTAATCTGAAAGTTGGTAATTTCAAAGACGACAGGAGGATAAATTTACAATGATGGGAAGAAACCAGCATAAAAAGGCTGAGAATACTCAAAATCAGAACGCCTCTCCCTCTAAAGATGATCACAGTTCCACATCAACAATGGACAAGGCTTGACAGAGAACGAGCGCATCCCAATGACAGAATCACTCTTTAAGGAATGGATAATAAGAAACTTCTGTGAGTTAAAAGAACATGTTGTAGCCCAACGTAAAGAAACTAGGAACTTTGAAAAAAGATTTGATGAAATCCTATTGAGAATAGACAACTTAGAGAGGAATATAAGTGAATTAATGGAACTGAAGAATACAATACGGGAACTCCGAGAATTATGCACAGGTTTAAACACTCGAATTGTTCAAGCAGAATAAAGGATATCAGAGGTCAAAGTCCAACTTAATGAAATAAAATGAGAAGACGAGATTAGAGAAAAAAGGATAAAAAGGAATGAGCAAAGTCTCCAAGAAATGTGGGACTATGTGAAAAGACCAAATTTACGTTTGATAGGTGTACCTGAATGCGATGGAGAGAATGAATCCAAGCTGGAAAATACCCTTCAGGATATTATTCAGGAAAATTTTCCTAAACTAGCAAAGCAGGTCAATATTCAACCCCAGGTAATACAGAGAACACCACAAAGATATTCCTCAAGAAGAACAACCCCAAGGCACATAATCGTTAGATTCACCAGGGTTGAAACGAAGGAGAAAATACTAAGGGCAGCCAGAGAGAAAGGTCAGGTTACCCACAAAGGCAAGCCTATCAGACTTACAGCAGATCTCTCAGCAGAAACTCTACAAGCCAGAAGAGAGTGGGGGCCAATATTCAACATCCTCAAAGAACAGAACCTTCAGCCCAGAATTTCATATCCAGCCAAACTAAGCTTCACAACTGAAGGAAAAATAAAATCTTTTATGAACAAGCAAGTACTCAGAGATTTTATTACCACCAGGCCTGCTTTACAAGAGCTTCTGAAAGAGGCATTACACACAGAAAGAAACAACCAGTATTAGCCTTACTAAAAATATACCAAAAAGTAAAGAGCACCAACATAAAGAAGAATTTTCATCAACGAATGGATAAAACAGCCAGTTAACATCAAATGACAGTAACCCTAAATTTAAATTGACTAAATCCCCCAATCAAAAGACACAGCCAAAACCCAAGGGCATGTTACATCCAGACCTGTTTCACATGTAAGGATACACAAAGACTCAAAACAAAGGGATGGAGAAAGATTTACCAACCAAATGGAAAGCAGAAATAAATAAATAAATAAATAAAAAGCAGGAGTTGCAATTCTCGTATCAGATAAAATAGATTTTAAAGCAACAAAGATATAGTGGTAAAAAGATCAATACAACAACAAGAGCTAACGATCCTAACACCCAGATACATAGAGACTTAGATTCAATGAGACAGAAAATTAATAAGGATATCAAGGACGCGAACTCAGATCTGCAACAAGTAAACTTAATACATATTTGTAGAGCTCTCCACTTCAAATACATAAAATATACATTCTTGTCAATACCACATCAAACCTACTTATAGGTTTAAATGAAACATTGATTGGCCATTATTAATACCCATTTTTTTTTTCAGAATAAAGCAATAGTTCCATTCACCCTCCCTCTCTCTCTTCCTCTTTCTTTCTCTCCTTTACTCATTTTTTTTTCTTTCCTTCTCTCAAAAAAAGAAATCAACTTGTAAACGTCTAGATCCAGGTCGGCAATGTCTCTCTCATTGCTTGAATTCCTTCCTTCCCTTCCCTCCCTCCCTTCCTCCCTCCCTCCCTCCCCCCTTTCCTCCCTTCCTTCCTTCGTCCCTTCCTTCCTCCTTCCCTCCCTTCCTCCTTCCCTGCCCCCCAAAAGAAAATAAATAAAATAAAATAAAGAGATAAATGATGGTGATATTTATCCCCCAAAAAGGAAAGAATATGAAAACAAATAGCATTAGGCATAAAAGAAAGAAGATATTTATTCTTTCCATAGATATCAAAAAGGAAAAAAAGGATATTATGAGCAACTTTAGACCAACAAGTTATGAACAGATGAAATATATGTGTTTGTGGAAAATATTACACAAAAATAACTTATGAAGAAATAGAAATCCCCCATATATTAAAATCTAATTCAATCTGTAGTTAAAAATCTTGTTACACAGGAAATATTGTGCCAGAAGAGTTTACTCATGCTATCACACATTTCTTACATAAATTCAAGAACAGAAAAAAAGGAACACTTCCCAGCATATTTTATGAGAGTTGCATAACCTTGATATAAACACTAGCCAAGGACAGAACAAAACAGGAAAACTACAGATCAGAATTATTGTAATTCACTACTTTGACAAGTTAAAAGAGATTAAACCATATAATTACATCCCTATTGCAAAAAAAAGATGTTCAATAAAATCAACAAACATTCATGATAAAACTTTCATAAAAGTAGAAAGAGAATGAGGAAAAAGACTTAGAAAGGAAATGTCTTTAACTTTATGAAGAAGACCTACAAAACTCTAGGGCAAATATGACATATAATAGTAAAAGTTTCAAGTATTCTTTTTAAGATCATGAACAAAACAAGGATGACCACTCTTACAACTTCTTTTGCACACTGCAGTAGAAATCTTAACTATCAAGACAAAACAAGAAAAAGGCAAGGAAAGAAATCAACTTCATCTTCCTCCTCCTTCTCCTCCTCCTCCTCCTCCTTCTCCTTCTCTTTTTCTTCTTCCTCCTCCTCTTCTTCTCCTTCTCCTTATTCTTATTGAGACAAGATCTCACTCTGTGGCCCAGGCTGGAGTGGAGTGGTGTTGTCGTAGCTCACTGCAGCCTTGCTCCTGGGCTCAAGCAATTCTCCTACCTCAGCCTCCCAAGTAGCTGGGACCACAGGCATACACCACCACACATGGCTACTGTTTCTTCATTTTTGTAAAGAAGGGGATCTTCCTATGTTTCCCAGGCTGGTCTCTAACTCCTAGACTCAAGCAATTCTTCCACTTCAGCCTCCCAAAGTGCTGGGGTTACACGCATGAGCCACCACACCCAACTCGACCTCTCATTATTAACAGGTGATACTGTCTAAACAGATAAATGTAAGCAAATAAATGATTTAAATTAAGAAAATTGACAAATTCATGAATAAACAAAAGCAACTTATGTATATCAAAAAATTCAGATGCAAAATGTAGTTTAAAATATCTTTTACAAAAGTAATAAATTATATAAAGTACATAAACACATAGGAATAAATCTAAGAAAAACATGCAAGACATCTATAGGGAAGGAGAGAGCCTTTGAAGTTCAGTAAAGAACTCAATTATGGAAAAATATGTCATTCCTTGGATAAAACGATTCATATCGTAAAGCTGTCAATTCTCTTCTAATGGACATAAATGTAAATGTAATTATGATAACTCAACAGTTTTTTTTCATGGAACATGGCAAGTTGATTTTCAAATTTCTATGAAAGGGTAAAGGGTAAAGGATGGCCAACATGTTCCTAAGAAAGAAAATACAAGGAGTTTGTCCCATTACATATTGAAACATTGCAAAACTGTGGTCATCAGCTTATTAACAATGTGATGTTCATTAGAAAAGAATTGACAATTTTATGATACAAATAGTTTTATCCAAGAACATGGCATATTTTTCCATAATTGAGTTATTTACTGAATTTCAAAAGCTCTCTCCTTCTCTATAGGTGCCTTGCATGTTTTCTCTTAGGTTTATTCCTGTGTGTTTATATATTTTATATAATTTATTACTTTTTAAAAGATATTTTAAGTTACATTTTCTATCTGAATTTACATTAATTAACATTAGTAAATATTAATAAACAAATAGACCCAAGCAACAGAATGGGACATTTAGAAACAAATTCACAGATATATGAAAATTTGATTTATGGCAGAGGTAGTATTTGAGATTAATGAGAAAATAAACTAATACACAATACACAAACACCAAATTCAAAGAGGATTAAGACATAAGTGTAAAAACCAAAACCATATACTCCCCAAAAAAGAATGTAGGCTGTATCTATAAACAAAATGTAAAATGCACAACTCTATAGAAGAAAATCGAAGAATTCAATGACTTTAAAAACTCTTCTTTGTTAAAATGGTGAAATAATTAACTATGGAGCAGCAAATATAAGCAAATTGCATATGTAATCGTAAATAAAATTTAGTTAATATTTTTGCCTATCCCTATGCCTAATTTGACTATTTAAACAGCTCCAACCAATTATTAAGAAAGAGAGAAACAACCCTATAGAAAAATGGGCAAAAGACCCAAAAAAGGAGCTCTAAAGAAAAGGAAACAAATATGGCCCATAAACACATGGAAAGAAACTCAGCTTCATCATTCATCAGAGAAGTACAAATACAAATCACAATGAGGTTTTATGATATTGCAATTCACACCCACCGGATTGGGAATAAAACCAGACAATAGCACATGAGAAGAGGATGTTGAGCAATGAAAATACTCATCTACATCTGGTGAGAATTTAAATATGCACTACAACTGGCCGAGTGCAATGGCTCATGCCTGTAATCCTAGCACTTTGGGAGTCTGAGCCCACTGGAGCATTTGAGGCCAAGAGTTCGAGACCAGCCTAGTCAACGTGGTGAAAACCCATCTCTACTAAAAATACAATTAGTTGGACATGGTGGTACGCACCTATAATCCCAACTACCCAGGAGGCTGAGGAAGGAGAATCACTTGAACCTGGGAGGTGGAGGTTACAGTGAGCCGAGATCATGTCATTGCATCCACCCTAAGTGACACAGCTAGATGCCATCTCAAAAAATAAAAATACTACAACTTTGGAAAACATTTTGGCATTACCTGGAAACTTAATTGTTATACCTTCTGTCTCAGCAATTTCACTTTTAGGTTTATATTCTAAGAATCTCATATATATGCGCCAGAAGAAAAATACCTCAAAATTCATAACCGGGCCATCTGCAGTAGTCCCAAGGCAGAGAAACATCAAATGTTTATTCAAAGCAGAGTGGACAAATTCAGATGTCTATCAAAAGCAGAATAAGAGTTCATACAGAGCAATATAATGAACTGTAGAGACGGCGTGGTGGAGGTTGGGAGAGGAATGAGGGATAAAAGACAATCAATATATTGGGTACAGTGTCCAATGCTTGGGTGATGGGTGCACTAAAATCTCAGGATTCACCACTAAAGAACTAATCCATGTAAGCAAAAACCACCTACACCCCAATAACTACTGAAATTAAAGAAAACAAAAACAGTCTGGGTGGGGTGGCTCATGCCTGTAGTCCCAACACTCTGGGAAGCTGAGGAAGGCAGATCCCTAGAGTCCAGGAGTTTGAGACCAGCCTGGGCAACATGGCAAAAACCCATAACTACAAAAAATACAAAAATTAGCCAGGTGTGGTAACACGCGCCTGTAATCCCAGCTACTGGGGAGACCTAGGTGGGAGGATGGCTTGAGCCCACGAAGTCAAGGCTGCAGTGAGCCATGAGAGCACTGCTGCTCTCTAGCCCAGTGACAAGTGAGACCTTGTCTCAAAGACAAAAAATGAGAATAAATGAATTCATGAAGGAGTACTCTGCAACAGTGAAAATTTAGTGAGCTGCAGGCACAGGCATCAACAGGACGACTTCCCAAAACATAACTTTGAGCAAGAGGAGCAAGTCCCAGGAAAATATAAGTACACAATTTCAATTTATATAAATTCCTGCCAAAGAAAAAACTAAACTATGCTTTGTTTCAGGTTATATACATGTGTGTCAAAACCGTAAAGAAAAGCAGGGATTGATGGACGCAAAATTCAGGGCAGCAGTTACCTCTGCTGAGGGGCGGGAGAAGCAGTCTTTGAGGTTTACTGAGAAGATTTAAGCTGCGGCATATATTCCATTTCTAAAGCTGGGTGCTGGGCATATTCATTCCATCACTATTCTTTACAGTACATATGTATTTTGGATTCTTCTGTGTGTGATATACTCCACAACAAAAATAAATAAATCTGTGCTTACCATGGCCAGATATCCCTCAAAATACCCTCATCTGTTGCCACTGGACCACTTGGGTGGAAAATGTTTAGAAATCCCTGTCTTAAGCTTCATCAATGTGAAGGATTCATTTTAAGATTTGAATGAACAAGATGACAGAAAATGAGAGAGCACACTGGCTGCCCAGGTGGGCGCAGAGGCTCAGAGGATAGGAATTTAGTGAGCGCCACTGTCAACATGCTTCACATAGTTGGCAGTTTTGCCTAACGTGTTCTCTGCTTGCAGAATTGCCACAAGTTGGAAATCCCACATCAGTCACCACTTCCTCGGGGACATTAGTTGTTCATGTAAATTCTGAACAATGGAAGGCTGGCTTTTAATCCGTTCGGAAATGGAACACAAAGACAGAGCCCTAGAAGTGGAGTGTGAGTGCTGAGGTTTTTTCCCTAAGCCTATTCTCTTCCACATGTGCTGATGTTCTCCTTGGTTAAGTATTTGGAAAGCACATCAGGTGTTAGCAATTTGTTTTTCCCTAAAAAGAACAATTTGCTCTTAGAAAAATGACAGTGTTCTTCCCTTATTACATGAAAGCACCCTCTGAACCCCGACAAAGCAGAGATATTTTGTAGAGATACACACAAGAATGAAAAACTGAAAATCAGAGCTGGTAATAAATGGACAGAAAATTAAAGAGAGCTGTCACCTCTGGCAAGGGGAAGGAGGAGGACATGATCATGGAGACTGACCAGAAGAGGAAGGTGATTCTGAAATACTGGCAATATTCTA